GAAAGTAAATAAACTTAATTACGAAAATTCAAATAGGTCTAGAAATTTTGAAATATCTTGTTCAGGGACTTAATCAGGAACTTTTTTATTGCCTATTACGTTTCTTTACATTACCATTAATTAAAAAACAATATAAGTATTTGTTTTAATTTTATTTATACTTTACTGTGTGGGAATTTCTGCTCATTTATTTTTGTTTCGAATCTATTTAACTGTTTTATATCTAAATATTATATTATATTTTCCTTTGATAATTTTTTTTATTTCACAATTGTCATTATAATCACAATAGTCCCTGCAATTTGTAAATAGCTTCAAGAGAATTGAAGATCTTGACAAAAACTTAAGGTCTAATTATTAAAATTTGTTGGCATTTGGAAAACATTTTCTAAATTTGGCATACTTTCAAGGATCTGTTACTGATAAGAGCGAAGTTATTGGAACAATCTAGAAATCCCCCTCCTTTAATGAGAATACTACACATATATAATAACCGCCTTTTGATATTACACTCAGAATAATCAGTCTAAGATGACACTAGATTAAATTATAACTTTATTTTTTACTTGTTATTTTTAATGACAGTTTTGACACCCAACATTTTCTATTTTAAATATATTCTACATTTTAATGTTTTCAGATTTTATTGATAACAGTCTTGGTTCTCAGCATTTTGGAAATTTCCACAGTTTGTTTCCAATACTTGTTTCAATGACTTGCTTGAAAGTATTCCTTAGGAACTGTCAAAACCATCAATCATTTAATCGCTTTATCCCCTGGAATGTTTCCCAGGTTATTCTTCACCAAGGCGGACAGATACCGCACCCACGAGTAGACGGCACGCACATATAGATAAACTTTACCTGGGAAACCAACGTACACTGCAAAAAAAAAGGGCGATTTTATATCTCCCATCTACTGGTCGGATTTACAAAATTCAAATTGCGTTTTTCATGTCTCGAAAGCGCTACTTAGGATATATATTAGATTTATATATAGCATTTTTCTAACATAAGTATTTTGACACAAAATCGGACTTTTTATGAAATAACATACCATTTTTTTTTCATATTTCGATTATACGATTCAAATTATGCCTAGATGTTAAATTTTGTAAAATTTGGGGCGAAATGTACGGAGAAATTCAAAAATTTATCTTGGCGCAATTTTTTTCAGTTTGCGCCAAGAATTATTCACTTGGCGAACTTCTTAATATATGGCAACCAATTTTCCTTTTCCTTCCATTATGCCGGCGCGAAAAAAAAAGGCCCCTCATTCCTACCTTTTTACATTGTGTATGAAGGGAAAAAAAAGTCACATCGTTCCTACTTTCAAAAAATTTTAGCAAAGTGTCTAAACCACATTTGATGTTTTATCGCTTTCAACAAATATGCCAAATTTCTAAATGCGCCAATATATAAATGTATGTATATCTTCGGAAATTTTGAATAAAAAATGTACTTTTTTGCAGGTATGCTTAGAAATACGTCTACTTTAAGATGATGGTAAAACTATTATTGATTATAATCCAAAATAACTTTTGAAAAATTTATAAAAATTATTTTGTAAGATTCCTAAGTGTTTTAAACTAAAGTTGAGGAGTCTTAGGAAATGATAAGTAAATAATCGCTTGAGTTCGTGAGACAGAGAACAAAACGTAAGAAGGGTGAAATTACCCTTTATTATTCCAATAAATTTTAGAAGATGTATCCTTTGGAGTTACAAAAAAGCTTCCACTCGAGCTTAAACTTAGGAAACTAAGAACTAAACTAAAAGCTAAAAAGATTAACTAAAAAGATATAGCCGAAGCTATCAATATTCTAACAGGGTTTGCCCCTTAACGCTAATTAACGGCGAAGCTATCAAGGGCCTAAAGTACGGCCGAGCGTAGTAATAGCTTGGAGAAAGAGTACCCTGAAAATGCGAACTCGCGCTAGTCAGAATCACTGGCTCTCTAACGAAGTTACTAGAACTTCGTGGTTAAATACTTCTCCTCATTTGCATTCAAACGCGATTCTGAACATACGTTCTGGTCGGAAGTTGTAAGCTGAAATTAAGAAGAGACAGGAAAGTAACCTTTAACTCAAAATTTAACTGTTAGATAAATTTACATAATCCTTAAAATTTAAAAATGCAAATTTTAAAAATAAATCACAAACAGTGGGAGAATTTTATTTGAAATGAACATGAATTTCGAAATGTCAAAGGAAAAATCAAATAAGTTTAATAAAAAAAAAGAGATATTAATAAATATATACCAAACTCAATTTCCATTGAGGAGCTAAAATTTTGAGAACATATTTTTTAAAAACTACTCATGCGAATTTTACAAAACTTGGTAGTTTGGCGTAATTTGAGTCGCAGAATCGAAATACAGAAAAAATATCGGTACGTTATTTCAGAAAAAAGTCCGATTTTGTGTCAAAATACCTATATTAGAATAATGCTGTATATAAATCTAATACATATCCTAAGTCGCGCTTTCGAGACATGAAAAACGCGAGCTGAATTTCGTCAATCGGTCCAGTAGAACAGGAGATATATAACTGCCCCCCCCCTTTTTTTTTTGCGCAGTGTACATCTTTGATCTATACAAAATAGTGAAAGTATGCCTTAGTGAAAAACTTTCTAGTGTAACACATTTGTATTTACATCAGACATACGACAATTACCATAAAGCTAGGCCATTCGCAGGAATCCGAGCCGGTGTCGAATTACCAGTTAATTACCAACTAAGGCGCTCTCATTCACTGAGCCATTAGATGGGCTGTTTAAAGTAGAGGATTTTTATGTACTTATATTTCAGATCAATTTATTGTTTCTTTGTCGATTGGACTGCCTATAATTGGCTAGAATTTTTAGTAAAAATCAATTTTTTCTTAGTAAACAAAATATAGTATAAGCTGATATAGACATTCCTTCGCCTATTTTAAGCTCTTAGCTCTTTGGAGCATTATTCCCGTTCTAGCCTTCACATACTGAACCAGTGAGCTCCAAGGTTTAGATTTAATGAAGAAAGTCCTACAAGAGATTACCTAATAAGTCTAATCAAAGACTAATCAAAGTAAGTAACTTAAGGCTAATTATTGCGTATCGTCTCAGATAACGTAATTGCACAGATTGGGCACGATTAATGGACAGCGAGTTCTATTAGTCTATTACCTGCTGCTCGGTAGTTGATACCAGTTCTTCCTTGACATGGAGGATAAGACGCAAGCTGATGCGGCTTATCTCTCACTGAACAATTGTTTTTAGAAAAAGGTCAAGTTTTTGTTTTTTTAATTTAAAATTACAAAAACTCCAATTGTTTTTTCGAGTTAAAACGAGAATCTAGTTTAAAAAAAACGGAAATTTCCAACTAACACAAATTAACTAAAATAAAAAAAAGATAATTAAACTAAATTTATATTTGACTAATAGAGATAAAACAAGGAATAAAAAAGTTGAAAACCATGGATAATAAAACAAAAGTAAATAATCAAAGTTAAGGGATAGTTAAATTATTTAAATAAGAATAATACGTTTGAATATTTTAAATAAAGATAACAGATTGTCGACTAATCCAAGTAAATATTACTGAAAGTTAATCAGTTGAAATAAAAATTAGGATTATTCAATATCTAAAATAAAAATAATGAATAGTCAGCAAAGGGACCGGGATTGAATCCCGGAGAAGGCATGGGTGTTTGTAAATGTATAGTGTCTATGCGACATGGGGCACTCTAAATATGCGGCGAGCCGAAAGACCACTCGAGAGGTTAGTGCTAGAGGAAGAGGGGTGGGAGATCCTCGAACCCGCTTCCTCCCCCCGGATTGCTTTTCGTCAAAACTGGAGGGGAAACTGAGCAAAGTCGTACTGTATCCTGTACGGTGCTCGAGGCTCTACCAACTACAGGCGCAGTTTTGCACTCCTTGTCAAGACGAATTTCGTGGGCTTTGCTAATATTACTGTCTGACAAGTGAGATAAATCACAACAATATCATGAATAGTCAAATAAATAAAATGAAAATGATGAAGGGCTAAATAACTGAACGAAATCCGTACTGAAGTAGAAGATGTAGCTACTACTGAAATAGTTAAAACAGAAATAAATCATAGTTAAATAATTTAAATAAAACTAATCTATAGCACAATAAATAAAATAATTTTCAAAAATAATAGAGAAACGAACTATTAAAATAAAAAGCATGGATAATGAAATAATAATAAAAACATAGATTGCCAAGCATTTAAAATAAAATAATGGATAACCCAGTAACGAAAATAAAACTAAAGGAAAGTGGAATTACTAAAATAAAAACAATGTAGAATTAAATATTTTAAATACAAATAATGGGTAACTTAAAAGGTTAAAAAATAATAAACATTCCTATGACAAAAATATAAATAATGGACAATCCAGTAATTAAAAAAAAGTAATAGATAACCAAATGCAATGAGAAATCAAGTAATTAAAATAAGACTTACTAAAATTAAAATTCGTAAAGTTACAAAAGCCATTAATTAAATGCCATAAAATACTGGAGAAAGCTAATATGGAGATTTATTACTTTTAAGTTGAAAAGAGTAATTTTTATGTTGAAAATGAAACTTTCGCTGTAAAACTTCAAACTTCAAGACTGTAGTTCATTCGTAATTTTTATTTTAATTATTTTAATATCTATTGTTAAAAACAAGAAATGAGTTTGTAAAGAAATTAGATATTTTTTGGAAGCAGGAGAGCTGAAAAATAAGCAACGCCTTCTCCGGGAATCGAACCAAGGACCTCTGGAATACGCGCCCAGTGTGCTGACCACTACACTACGAAGGCTTGCTAATAAAAAGGCAGGAGAAATTCACCTTATATACTCCCCCTTTTAAAGGGCGACTAGGGTTTTTAGTGGACTTATTCGCCAAATCCTGGCTGTAGAGAATCAGCTTTGACCATCTTTTTTGTTCGGGCAAGACTGTAGAGTCATTAGGTATTTTTTTGGAAGCATGAGTCATGAAAAATGAGCAACGCCCTCGCTGGGAATCGAACCACGGACCTCTGGAATACGCGTCCAGCGTGTTGACCACTACACTACGAAGGCATACTAAGAAGGCGGGAGAAATACCTTATAAATTGCTAAAAATAAGATTTCTGGAACTGCAGATTGTCATATCACTATAAAAACTTTTAATAGGAAAAATTAATACTTAAATGGTTAAACGAGAACTAACGCATAATCAAAGGATTAAAATAGATGCAATTTAAATAATTAAAATAAATTTTTAAAAATTAAGTTAAAATAACAGATAATCAAATCATGTAAATAAAAATCTTGTATAGTCAAGTAATTAAAACAAATTTATCTTGTGCTGAGAAGATTTAAAGTGAAAGGTATGCTTATGGTAATTAAATGAGAGCTATTTGATGTTAATCGTTAGCATTATATAGAATTTATATTTTGTGACATAGTTTATAAAGATACAAAGTAACAAGGCTTCAGTCTGAGAGGAAAAAACTATACATTCTTTACTCAAAACCATCAATGCCGTAAAATGCAAATAGAAGTTACTTTCTGCACAAAACATTCAATAAATGTCTGTCCAGCACAGAATTTTTCAATATGATGTAAGCCAGCTCATGGCAGGCTTCTATCAAACGAGGAAAAGAAAAGAGATTCACATATCTGAGGGTATTTTATGAAGCCTTTCTAGTTTCCCAATATTGTAAAGTTGGTATTTGTGGCGCCAAGAAGGTACTTAAACGGCGGGATATGATATCTAGTCTCAGCAAGGGCGCAAAATAAGATTCTTAGAGTAGTCAAGTAAGTATGGCCATTATGGAGGGAGAGGAAAACAATAAAAATTATTCAGTAAAAATTAAATTATGAAGAACAAAAAAAAGAAAAAAAAAGAAAAAAAATGTGTATAAAAAATAAAAATTTTATCGTTACTGGTACGCCACGAACCTTGTTAGACTAACAATTATCTAAACTCTGATATATCGAGACTGATGAAAAAGTTATTTTAAGAAAACAATATTTTAAGTTTCTATTCAAAAATGAAAGAATTAATTGTTAATAATAAATTATTTAGATAGGGTTGTTTCGTCATAACAAGTTAGTTACAATACAAATAAGTTTTCATTACAATACAAATATATTAAATAAGCAGATTTTGACTAAGTACACACTCTAATCCAAAGCATTAGATATGCCATTAAATCTTAAATTCAATTAATCTTAATTTCAGTAAGTTTCCTGATTATTATGCTTGATATTTAATAGCATTAAATGTACGCGTACATTTAATGCTATTATTCCCATTCAGGTCTGTTAATAACAAATAAGCCTTCCACAGATCTGAGTTCGAAGGAACATTTACTTGAAGATATAAATGGACGAACTCATAAAAGATGTTATAAATCTTGTTTCGAATCTTATATACACATAGATAATTTTAGTGAAATTACATGTGAAATTGTTATATTTGCCTGTATAATGTAACATGAAAAGCTAAGAGAAATGATGCTCTACTAGAAAATTAAGAAGACATTAGCAAGTCTATTTAACATTGAGTAAAGGGCTACCTCGTTAATTTGGCGAGATATCGCCAAGTTGGCAACGGTTTGGAGAGTAATATTTGTCACCAACGTCACCAAACTTGGAGACCATTTGGCGACATTTGGGTCCAGTCTCTGGATCACCGTAATACGTATTGTAATTTAATAACTTCATGTGTAACTGCAACCATATTTGGCCTTCAAATGCCTTCCAGTAATTTCGAGAAGCAGAATGTTCTAGAAATATCTCGGCAGCCTGTATGAAAACTACATAATACCAGAGAGATTATCAGTTCCTCAGTTGTTGTGAGTTGTTAGTTCAGAGCGACTCCGGAGTATTGAAATATTTGTGAAAGCTTCATAGTTTGGAAGAGCTTTGCATTGCCTTGTGTTTAACGTTATTAGTAGTTTGAACAGTAACTACTGATTTGACTCTGTGATAGTCTGGACACCTGCGCGAGTATTTCCTTAGAAAATTGTAGAATTCTGAAGTGTTACTTTTGATAAAATAAATTTTATCAACCTCTCATCGGAACTGTGTGCCTTCAGTCTATTACGAAGACGTATGGACGCAACAATATTATCAAAAATCGGAGAGATACATACAGCTGCATGTTTCAATAAAAGTACTTTTTGTATATCTTCTGATAATAATCTAGGCAGTAATAAGCGTAAGAAGCTCAGAAAAATTGGGAAGCTCTAATTCACTCGGAAAGCAATAATCCTCGTCGCCAAAAAATTCTGATGTATTCTCTAAGCTGCTTCATACTATCTGGCAAATACCTACAAAATTCCATATTTTAATCAAATGAATTTGGCATCATCGTCACATATAAATTCCCATTAATAAAACTGCTAACTCCTAGAAACAAAAAGACAATCAAATGACTTAATGTCCTGTCTTAACATGTGGATAGATAAAAACAAACTCTGAAAAATGTTTCAAATAAACGTTTTTATTTGCTCGCTGGCTTAACAATTTCACAGCCTGATTAATAACAGAAGACTGAAGCTCCGTACCTTTCGAGAAAGTCATCGCTCAAGTAAAAATATTAAATACAAAGGCCGTTACAAGCTTTAATCTCATGCTCTCAGTCAGTCACGAAGCAATTACAGTTAGCAAAGCTAGCGCTGATTTAAGTAATTCAGACGCAAAGAGAAGTAACAGAGCAACCGAACGATAGCTGCTAAAAGCTCTCTCTCAAACCCAAGAACTACGCTCAAGTAATTTGTATCTTGGAGAAAATATAGACAATATAATAACTGGTTAATTAACATAACACCGTACGTTCTTAAAAGACAAAAATGAAAGGAAGTACAAGGCATCAAAGCAGTAATCACAACATTATAATGGTGTAAAATGTTACAAAAACAAAACAAAACAAAAACGTTAATAGAGTTACTTGCATGGTTTTAAGTTTTTAATGAGTTTTTTTAATATTTAAATATATTTTTGCCAAATGCTATCCCTCAAATAAACATGAAGTTTTATTTTCCAGCATTACGTATTTAAATTTAACGAACCTATTTAAACTTAACTCTAAGAAAAATTGCTTTGCCAAGAACTGATTTTATTTTTTAAATATGCTGCATTTTTAAGCTTCCAAATTATCTTGCACTCAAAGCATTTTCAAAATTTTTATTCTGCATATGCTAGAAATATAATTTTAAACGTTAATTCAAATTTAAGGCGATTCTTTGAAAACGAAACATTTTTATGCATGCCTATATTACTATCACATTATAAGATTTTTTTCTCCCTCCTTTCCGCCTGTGTTCTAGGTGTAATTGGAAGTATACTCGATGCGTATTCTAGTCGAGTCCCAGGGTTCGAGTCCCGGAGAAGGTACTGCATATTTTTTCACGTCTCCTGCTTTAAAATAACCTAATAGCTGTACGAACTAAAAGGTGGTAGATGATAATTTGTCACCACCGGAATTGAGCGATTTGGTCTCCTTAACCCCACTCGCCCTTTAGAAGGGGAAGTATATGAGATATTTTCTCCCACCTTTCCGCTTTTGTGGCCTACTCGATCTGTATTCGAGAGGTCCAGGGTTTGAGTCCCGGCGAGGTTACTGTACATATTTCACGTATCCTGGTTCAAAATAACCTAATCACTCTACAATGTGTCTGAATCTTCAAAGCACTTTTAAGATTTCTTTCTAAAAAAATTATATTATTGAGAATAAAAGTAAACTTTAATATAATAATAATAACGAGCAGTTTTCATCAAATGAAATATTTTAATTATGCAAAAGGTTCTGCTTGGAAAATATTTAGGTTTAAGTTAAACCAATACGCCGAATAACGATTATCGGAGAAGTTAAACACCAATAATCAGCGTAATTCGTAAATTTTGCAAGACTAGTTTAGATGGATCTGTGTTTAAACCATCGAAAACTAGACCTGCAAAATTTACAAACATTAGGCTGATTTTTATTGTTTAACTTTTCCAATAAATATTAAGGTTATTTAAAATGAAAATTTTCTGGCTTAATAATTATTAAAGTAAAATTAATTCGAAGGACACATCTAATCGTCAATGCTTACATTTAGTTGTGGCCTGTGACTGACAGTTACTAGTGTATAGCAGATTAGTGTTTAGCAGAGAAGTATTTTGGACAGCGGCAATACTTGCCAAGGCTTGCATCATTGTCTGACGGTTACTAGTGTTCAGCACTGAAGTATTTTGGACAGCAGCAATACTTGCCAAGGCTTGCATCATTGTCTGACAGTTACTAGTGTTTAGCAGTGAAGTATTTTGGACAGCAGCAATACTTGCCAATCCTCGCATCATTGTCTGATAGTTACTAGTGTTTAGCAGCGAAGTATTTTGGACAGCGGCAATACTTGCCAAAGCGTGCATCATTTCGTGGCGCAACGTTACATTTCAGAAATGTTGCAATTACATTGTTAAAGGCATTTCTAGCACCAAACTTGAAATTTTTCCATAAATGTAAGGATGAAAGCATACATTATAACACACATAACTGACTTAAAAATAGTATCAAGGTCAATACAGTAAAAATTATATTGATATGGATTTAAAAGACTTGTTTACTTTGTATACTTTACTTGGAATATTATTAATGGTTTCAAAATATTACGGCGTACATTTTCGAAATAATTCTGTAAATTTAAATCTGCATTATTTTCTATCAACTCTGAACAAAATTCGAAACAACAGAACAGAAATGAAACATAAAACTGAGCTTCGGAAGGCGGCGAACATCCACATCCCTTAGAGCTTTGTTTAATGGAACATTAAGGAAACACGAAATTTTTTTCTTGTATTCTATGAATTTTTTCGGATTCTCATGGCTTGCACATAAAACGCTGCATAGACGGTAATAAAATTCCTACCTTCAATGACTTAACGGAAGCATAGTTTCGGAGCAAGAAGGGATGGAACAAATATTTATGCTGATTACGTCGGTTTATGTGTTGGGTATTACCAAGAACATGACGCCCTGTTGTAATTCTTTCATTAGTCCAGCCATTTATTCTTCTTATGGTGCATTGTTACACATAAGCCACATAATA